CTAATCATCGTAACTAACATACAATATATCATCATCATTTTCATCATATCATAAGTCATCATTCATTCTCGCAACACAACTTTGCATACAACTCTTCAATCACTTGCAATTTTCTACATATAACTCACCAATTCACAACCATGACATATTACATAGGACAAAATAAAAGTTTTGATTTAAAATGGGTTTATATCATTACAATAACTTCATTTTCATATTCTCACATATTTACCCCTTCAACATCTCATAAATCATGACATTTGATTTTCAAATATTTCATGCCACACTTACGCAAAAATAATATCACATAATCCAACAATAGTTTATAAAACTAAATAATTAATTAACATGCAAGAGCAAAAGTAAGATTTTTCTTTGTTATCTCAAACCTTTTGAGAGATCAAAAGTTTACCCCTCAATACAATCACTTTCAAAGCTCTTTTTAAACTCAAGTAGTGCCAATTAGTGATTAATTTGCAATTAATCATATCAATAATCATTAATACTACCATTAATGAAGTTTCAACTCCCTAACTCTACACTTTTAACTCCCAAAATTCTATTTGCTCACATACAAGCATACCCATAGAGTGTTTTAGCTTTCTTTAGCTCACATTAGCATCATCAAGCTATCAAACCTTCATTAATAATATTTAAACTTCTCCAATAACCTCATTAATGGCTCCTTTTCGGCCATTAATGGCCCCCACCAACTAAACACTTGTAAAAAAATCATGATTATTAGGTTTAGATAAACACAACTTTCATTAACTCTATTTAAGTCAATTGGTTTGAACCTATACCCTTTATGAATCGAAAATCATCTTTCCAAGCAAACCCTAGCTCAAACTTAAGAAAAATGAAAGGGGGAGAAGAGAATAGACATAGGATATTTACCTTTAGTGTTTGGAAATTTCAAAATGTCTTCAAAAGTTTGAAATCTTGAGCCCTAGCAAAGCTGGGTGCGTGCTCTTCGTTTCCTCCCTTTTTCTTTTTTTTTTAACTAATGCAGCTGCACTCATTTTAAAATCCAACCATGAGCTGCAGCGCAAGTATTGTATGCTACGATGCATGGTACAGCAAAGGTGATTCTAAGTTCTCCCCCTCTTCAGAGCCCAAATAGCCCAACTTTACTCTGCACCCTTGATCCTTAAGCTACAACCACAATCCTTTAGACCTATTAGTCCTCTCTAACTATTCTCTATCCATATATCAATGTAATTTAATTAATTACCCTCAATTAGCTTAATTAATTAAGGGTTAAATTTTTAGGATGTTATTGGGTAACCCAACTGTAACATCCTGATTTTTATTTAATAAAGAAAGTGTAGAATTTAGGTTTTGAAAAAAAAATGATAATAATAGGAATTTATATTATTTGAGGTTATTTAGAAATAATATTATGGTTAGGTATTTAATTATGAATTTAAAAATTTAAATTTAAAACCACATAAGCAATATTTAGTTAAGATATAATACATAAATAATTTTTTTATGTGTGTTAAAAAAAAAGAGAAGGTAGAAGGAATAAAAAAAGGGGGTGGAAGGTTGTTGTTTCTAAATCCTACATTGGTTAGATGAGGAAAGAGACGAGGTGCTTTCATGTATAAAAAGGAGGGGGTGTGTGCATTATGAAGCATGAGAGGCTAAGATACAATTTAGAGGAAATTACAACTTATGGCTCAAAGGTTTGAATAATTAAATTTAGACCTATAGTTTTTTTAATATAATTTTGGGACCCACAATCCTATTTTTATATTATTTTTCTCTCTTCCTCTCACGTTGCTCGACGTTTTCTCGCAAGGGAGGGTTATTTTCTTTTTCTTCAGGTATGTTCTAACTTTCCTGTTTAGATTAGCATTTAAAAATTTATTTAATTACAAAATTAATTTTATAGTTATTTTCTAAATAATATTAGCTTTCTAGTGATATGATTATTTTGTAGGATAGAGTAAATATTCTGATTAGAATTTTTTTATAGGATAGTTAATCTGATGATATGATTGATTAAAAATATAGGTTAAAACTCTTAGGGATATAATAAATATTATAGAATATTTTCTTGAGGTTGAAACTCATGTTTAAGAATTTTTGAGTTAAAATATAGATCTATATGGTTGAATTTATGTGGAATCTGTGATGTAGGGATGAACCTCTAACTATTAAATATTTATTTAAGTATAAATAGGTATTTTTGAGGTTATAGAAAGGTGATTTGAGGCTTCAGGATAATTTTAAAATTTTTAATTTATTTTTGGACGAATTTTTAAAATATAGAAGGATGAAATTGTGATACTAGAAGTGATTTGAGGATTAAAAAAATAGTTTATTAGGGTACGAGAATTTTAGAAAAGAATTTAGAAAGTTAAATGAGGCATAAATCTTAAATTAGTGTTAATATGGATTATAGATCTAAGACTTTTTAACTCTTTAAATTAGAGTTATTTATTTTAATGTAAAATTAATATATAGTATTGTGAAAAAATTATGTAGATTATATTGACAAAGATAGTGGTGAAAAAGGAGTTGTGAAGGGGAACTTGTTATTCAAGACATAAGGTAACCATTATTAATGTGTTGCGATGAGTGTGTTTGTGAATGGTTATGTGTTGACTTGTTGTTTGAAAAAACTATGAATTATTGAAAATAAATACTGTTACATACTTGTTTGAAATTATTGCCAAGTGGGTCAAAATTTTATTTTTATTTATCATGATGAGATATTATTGTTCGGATATATTCCTGTTTGGATATTTGAATGATGCATGACTTGTCAGGGTATTTTAATGTATGGTGTTAATGGAAATTTCTATTCAGTTAATTATTACCATGTGGTAAGCCCTCATTGGACCCAATGAGTGGCGTGTCGCTTACCTTTGGCCTGGTGATTTGACGTCCGAGCATGGCGAAAGGAGGATATAAGGTGTAGTCATGTAATTAAATACTTGGTCGGTTTGTTTGGAAATATTTTTCGATTAAATATTTTTGTGTGCCCACTTAGTAATCGCATGATTAGTTATATCCACATGTATCATTACATATTAATTTTTGGTTACTGGGACTTTTAAGTCTCATTCCCCGTGGTTAATATTTTTATAGGAGAGAGTCCGGCCAAGAAAGCACCAGAGGCATAACTTTGGTGTATGAGACACCATCTTTTACATTGCCTCTTAATTTGAATTATACAATGTATCTTGTGCCAACTTAGGACATATCTTATTTGTAGCATGTAAACTCTAATCCTTTATATTAAAAGTATTTATATAACCAAGAGGATTATGTCTGTCCCTCTTGTTTTATGATCTGATTTGAATATCATGTCATGAGGATTATGTCTATCCCTCATAGTTCTAATTGCTTTTTTTGAAATATTTTAAGACTTATAGTATATTATCTTGGATGTATCATGATAGAAATTTTTCTACCATGATAAGGGTATGATAAGGGTTCAAAAAAATGATTTATTGAATTAATAATTTGTGAAAAATCGATTTGTAAATTTGAGGATGTTACACCAACAAGACAAATATATAAATATTTAAATAAAAAAAGCTCGTGCAAACTCTCTTTAAATTCAGGAAAATGGCTCCGATGAAATTGGATACAAATTGTTCTCTAGTGCCGCTCAACGCAAAATAAAGTCCAATTCTCTCTGTTTTTTTTTTATCCCCAATAAATGTAAGTTTCTGAAATCATAATGTTTTAAGTAAATACTGAGATATTCCATTCTGCCAATAAAATAATTCATTGTCCCTCTACAATGTTTTAAATATGCTTGAGTCAACATCAAGTTTATTTTTCCCCATCTATAATATTTATGCCTTCCTGAAATTTCATAAATATTAGTTAGATGTATTCCCAGAATAATACTCACAATTGTTGGTGTGGTGATGGTCGTGGTCGTGGTCACTATCATAATGGTGGCAGTGGTGGTTGCCATCTTTGCGGTTGACGACAGTATAACGATTAAAAAATAACAATATACAATTGAGCCACCATCTATATTTGATTTATTAGGGGCAATAACCCTTTGTGATAAAATAAGAAAAATAACAAGATTTTGGTTCTGTACTGACATTTTAAAAAAAAATTAAAACCAATTAAAAAATGCTCCCTGTACATACATAATTTAGAAAAATCCGTTAGAAATTTTAGAAATCTCAATTGGAATTAATTTTTCAACTTAAAAATAAAACAAATGTAATTTGAAAAACAATGTATGCAAATTAAAAATGAAAAAAATAAGGAACATGAAAAAATTGCTTAGTTAAAAACAGTTCCTACAAAGGCCTCAATTTTTTTATACCAATATACAAAGTCTTAATTGATAGTTTAGAATTTCGGATATAAAGTGTGATTATCTTACTGATAAATAACCCTTCTAATTTAAAATATAAGCAGCTTTTAATAAAAATTCACATACCTACAAAATCTATCTTTATTCTCATAAAAATATTTTTTTTTCTTTTCAACTTTTAATTCCAATTTATAATGAATGAAAAAAAGTCATAAATTTATAAGCACGAGAATTCATATTGATAAATACAAAAAATAAAATAAAAAATTATAAATATTAAGTTATTTATATTTTAAACTAACATTAGTTAAAAAAATTTATACTTTAAAATGAAGGGAATATATTTTTGTCGATTAATCATACAGAATGTGCCAACAACTATTTTCCTATGTCACTTTCATTCTTTTCATCAACATTACATCTTAACTTTACCGGTCCGCCAACTCACCAAGGAAGCTATACCGAGACAGAACAAAACCAGAATATGCTAATAAATACACGGCCGAAAAGGGTAGAGAGAAAGCATAGTACAAAAATCCAGATCAACATGCCGTTAAACAAGTGTCTCTAACCCATTTAATAAAATAATTTATTTATTTATTTATTTATACCCAATTTAATTATGATTAAACTATAATTTAAATTATTAACCATTTCATTATTAATATTTTAACAGGTTCAATGACAAGTTCATTTAAGAACATTTTATTCCAAAGGGATTTAATTTTCCATTATGAATTTGAAGGTGATACAAAGAACTTAAGGAAGGAAACTAGAACAAAAATCGCATACAAAATTGGAAATCATGTACTGGACAGCAAACTTTGGAAGAAAATTTGCATACATCTTCACGTTTTTCTCCCGCTTCCATCAGAAAGTGAGCTAAAATTTAAGAGAAAAGAAGAAAAAGAGAGGTGAGAAAAGTGGCGCGTGACCCTGCAAAAGCATGAGATTGAAAATGACATCTAACGGCTAAAACCCAGACTGACAAGCTTCACTCATACTTCGAGCTGAACAACAAAAACTCGAGTCCTTCTACAGTCAACTCTCCTGGTTCAGAATTGAGAACAAAGAATCCAATGGTGCGCTTCCTTCCACTCTTTCTTGTTTGTACAGAAGCATGAACAAGTACTGCTACTATTTACAATTATAGCACAAACCCCAGATGATCATATTTCATACCAAATATGTATGCACACACATCATTATATCACAGGCAAAAAAAAAAAAAAGATGATATATCCTCTCAGAATATTGATTATGTCCTGAAAAAAAGTATCATCTTGGACCAGAGAGTTCCATGGCATCGGAATCCAAAGAACGTCCGTCGTCGTCGTCATCCACGGCCATGCCAAACATGTAGGAACGATCATGAACATTGTCATGGTGTTTTGAATTTGATGGGTTGGTGGTCGGGCGGAATGATGAGCTGTTGCTACTGTTGCTGTGAAAGGAGCTCATGCTAAGGCTACCATGATTATGTGATGCTGCCCATTTCTCAGCAAGGCCATCGCCTTCGAGCATCCGGACCACTTCAGACATTTTAGGGCGGTGGGCCGGCAAATATTGAGTGCAGAGTAAAGCTACTTGTAACATTTCCCCCACCTCTATCCAGTCATAGTGACTACCTAACTCTTTGTCCACCAATACTTCAAGTTTCTTTTCTTGTTGTATTTTCTTGACCTGTGTCACAAGACATGCAGACAACATTGATCTCCAGTCTCAATATTGAATATCAATTTCAAGGAACACAAACTGGCATGTAACCTTCCTCAACTACACAGCTTTCACAAAGGCAATGATCTATAATTAATTATGATATATTGATATGTTAGCATCTCACAAATATTAGATCCAAGCAAAATCACCACAGTTTAGTCATTTGACTTTGTATCTGACAGAAAAACGAACCAACAGGTGTATGCTTAACGAACTTTTACAAGGGAAAAGAGCATTGCTTTGAATATCAAACAAATTTCGAATTCCTTGAAGCAGAATTCTATAGCCTAATGTACTAACAAATTTTGACAAATTTTACGTTGAGTCATAACAAAATGAAAAAAGCAACGTTTCAAGAGTTAAAAATTATTGAGTGTAACATGAGGAACATCAAGGAATGTAGAAAATCACAAGTGACATGAAGCTTTGCAAGTCAAGACATGATATCAGTCCAAGATATCTGCTTGCTTCGTAAAATCATTCTAATTCAAATCTACAAGTTGTAACCCGTTCAGATAGAAACATGAAACAAAGGGAGCAACAAAATTATTATCATACAGGATATTGATTATTCTTGTAAAAAAGGCCAAATAATGTAATTAAATCAATAGCTTCGGGTTGCAGAACAAACTTACCCACTCTAGGATAGCACCCTTTTGATTAACTGTTTTCCCAAACTCAAGGGCTGTCATTCCAGTTATAAGCTCCAACAAGAGAATGCCAAATCCAAATACATCAGTTTTCTCAGAAGATTGGCCAGTGGAAAGATATTCTGGTGCAATGTGGCCAACAGTGCCACGGACAGCAGTTGTGACATGAGAGTCAGCATGGTCAAGGAGCTTTGCAAGCCCAAAATCACCAACAACAGCCTCAAAATAGTCATCTAGAAGCACATTAGCAGCCTTTACATCTCTGTGTATTATCTTCGGATCGCATTGTTCATGAAGATACAGAAGACCTCTAGCAGCTCCAATGGCAATCCTCTTTCTTGTGTTCCAGTCCAAAGAAGGTTTGCCTGCAAGTTATGCATTACAAGTCGGTTGCTGAAGAATGTCTCGTAATAAACAGAATATTGAAGGCAAACAACATGAGGCTGGTGAGGTTCTATAAGAAATAACTTTCCACACGTTACTCCTTAGAACTGGTTTCTAACATTGTTGTCAATTACAAGCGGTACACAAATTATCTTTGAAATCAACCAATATTTGAAACCGACTGACCCAGAGTATCAAGAAGTAGTCAGGTCAAAGATATAGAAATAGAAAAATGTTTGATGACAAAATGTTGGTCTAAATGGAGAAATACGAAGATAGATTCAGCCCGTCATGAAGAGAAACTATAACAAAGAAGATTAAGATGCAGTTTAACACCTTATAACAGAAAACTGGCAAACACCAGAGGTCAACATATGATCAAACAATCTAAATAAGAAAAACCAGTTTTGCGAAGGAAACAGTACCAACCTCTGAGCCTGGAAGCCACACTACCGTTAGACATATAAGGGTAAACCAGAAGCTTTTCATTAGGAATGGCACAAAATCCTATCAAGCGAAGTAAATTACGGTGAACTGCCAAGCTGATCATCTCCAGTTCTGTTTGAAACTGTGATTCACCAGCAATTCCACATACATCATGCAGCCTTTTCACTGCCACCATTGTCCCATCTCCAAGCCTCCCCCGATAAACATTGCCAAAACCTCCTGCTCCAAGTATGTTCCTGGAGCTGAAATTGTCTGTTGCATGTTGGAGCTCTCTGAAAGTAAAATTTTTGAGATTTCCCAAGCTAACAAGTCCCGCTTCTTGATAATCTGCAATAAAACCAACATACAACTATTATTACAGTTCCTTAACCATACAATATAGGACTACTGTTCAAGTTTTACTTACCATTGAGGTACAGAATGGCTTTGCTCTGCCGTCTCTTCCTGTACCAAAAGATCCCAAAAGACACAAGTATGATGCTAGCAAAGCTGAGACTGACCCCAAGTGCAATTGCAAGCTTCTCGGACTTGTGATTTCCTACAAAAAGGAAGTTTATATAGATCATGAAGCCATGGTGCAAGCTAATAAAAGGGAATGTAAAAAATTAAGATACAAAAAAGTTACCTCGTGACAATATTAGAGTGAAAGGAACAGGTGTGAGGGTTGCTGATCTATAGCAGCCTTCAGTAGAACTGCTTCCACAAATTAAGGGGTTTCCAATAACGCTGCATGAATAACAGTGAACCATAACAAAAGCTCAGGTCAAATGGAAATAATTAAATTTTTAAATTAAAATTAAATAATAGAACAACAATCTTACAGGCATCAGAAAGTGAGAATACAGGAGAAAGGAAATGAAAGAGACAACATACTTGAATGTTCTGGCCGGAGACTTGGGTAATGGTCCGCTGAGATTGTTGTAAGACAAGTCCCTATATGAAACAGGACTATCATATCAGCGTCTCGACAAAAGCACAAGACGAAAAATATCCACAAACTGGGAAGAATTCAGCGAGAGGCAAGTTGATTGGATTTCCAAGACATTTGGACGTGAGAATGTAAACAAACAAGTTGTGACAGAATAACTGAGAAGCCCATACTCACAAGAAAGAAAGCTGTGGGATTTTGGACAGTGATACAGGAAATGGCCCAGACAGACTGTTGTTGTTCAGCCTCCTACTCTCGTTTTGGACGAAGAAAACAAAGCATTACATTAGAACACGTGAAGCGAAAATCAACCATCAAAGTATATTCAATCCATTTCTGCTCAAATACACGAGGACAAACTCTTCACCAGAAAAAAAAAAAAACTTTGATAATAAATTCAGCAGCAAATGATGCGTTAGAAACAATAAAGTTACACACAGAAATGATAGTATTATCTCTTCTAAGTAAACAGCTACAAATATCATTTAATTGTTGGTAACCTGGTTTACATATAAACTTTTACCAAGAATAAAACTCATTTTAAATTATTTTCCCGCACTTTCCTGGCAGAGGTTAATAAAGAACGAGATTGAAAATTACTCACAGGTACTGGAGATTATTCAACCAACTCAAAGACACTGGAATGGGCCCAGAGAATCGATTATTGGAAAGATCAAGAGTCTGAAGCTTTGCAAGGTTACCAAGCTCCTGTGGGATTTTGCCGGAGATATTGTTGTTCTGCAGTAAACTAGAATCAACCGACAAATCAAAAGAAAATTAAAAAATGGATGCCAGAGAGAAACAGAGTGGACAAAAATGGGTTTCAATAATCTGTAAGCAACAAAAATCATGCCATGATTTCTCAGTGATGATAGGGACCTGAGAAGTGAGAACTTCGCGTCTAACACGTGGCAAATGGTTGTAGAAATGGAAAAGAAACCAGAACAAGACCAATAAACGAAATAATGGAGGGAAACTATGGTTCAGAAAGGCACGACGACAATTAAAATTCACAACCCAAAATTTTATCTCCCCAGACCACAAGGAGAGTAAAAAGGAACAAACCAAGACCCATGGCAGAAGTTGAGTCTCCAAACAATTCGCGCGTGCTTGTGTGTGTGTGTGTGTGTGTGTGTGTGTGGAAGAAAAAATTCCATGTTCCTCACACTTGCCGAAGATTTGTCAGATTTGCGATTGCTCCTGATAGAGTTCCTGAAAGAGATTGGCTAGGAGCTCCCCTGCAAAACCCAGAAATATGGTAATTTTAACAGTCAAAGAAACCAAATGCAGGGAAAACAATAACGGAGATGGACGAGAAGAAGAAGAACTAGAACTCACAGGCCTATGACAAGGGAATCAGGAGAACATGTGATCATAGCCCAACTGCAAGGGTCCACAGAGTACTCATCCCAGTTGCTTAAAACTCCATGCGGGTCAGTCAGAGCATTCTTTATGCTCATCAAAGCCTCCACTGCAAAGTAAATAATTGAACACCGAACATGAGAAGTTAAGCACAAAGCATAGAGGGGGCGGGGGGAGAGAGAGAGAGAGAGAGCAAATCAAGCATACCTTCGTGGTTGCGAGGCTCGGAAGAGAAACAAAGTCCAGCGCAGGAGAGGAAGAAGAGAAGAAGCAGAACGACCGAATTGAAAGCCATAATTAAGGAACAAAGGTGGTGGGCATAATCTCACACAACCGCTAAAGCAGGGCTCATACACACAGGCTATAACAAAAATTCAAAGTACGAGCTCGGTTTTCCTCCTAAAGCAGGGTTCCCTGGTTTTTACAGCCCGCTACTCTCTTTTGTTCTCTTGGACCTCTCAAACAGCCTTTTCCAGTCACCACCACAGCTTTGTTTTTTTCATTAATTTGCGCGAGAGAATTTCACACACACGCACACAGATAGATATATATATATATATAAGCATAAAGGTAGGGAGGAAAAGAAAACAAAAGAAAAACTAAGCGAATCAGGTGGGTGATACGAGTTGTCAGAGATGGCTAGTGTGGGTGACTTTGTGCGCAGAATTTAAGAGAGAGAGACGTGACTGAGCGAGTGGGTAGTCAGAAAGAGACGTACCTGTTGGACTCACTCACGCACTCACTGCTTCTCCCATGACCACCTCCCCCCCCCCCTCCATTTTTTCATCTGCTCTTCTCCTTGCTTGATGCCAGAACAGAGACAAGTGGAGGATCGAAGAAAAGCCCACGAGAATCAAAACGTCCATCATAACCTGATAATCCACAAGAGTGGAGCATTTTGCTTGCACTGCATCTGCATCTATATTGATTTGTGATAGCCTAAAAGACTATACACTACTCTGATGCGCACCCCAGAATGCTATTCTTTCCTCTGATACCCTACTCAGTCCTGCATCCTCATCATTTTGTTGTCTTTTACGAGGTCTTTCTATCTTTTCGAACGATTCTACAATCTATATAGTGTGCTGCTAAACACGCAAGACGTTTCAATAATCGTTTCATTTATTAATTAATTAATAAGCATATCTTACTGTGCTCCCTCGAGGAGAGTGAGTCAGTACTCAGTATTATTATATTATTATTATTATTATTTTAATGTACTTGTTAAAAGAATGAGAAAGTTTAACCAAGGGAAAGGAGATGGTGGCGGGGTACGTTTTTTGAGATTTTGTTATCAATACACTATAAATAATAAAATAAAAAATATCTATCAAAATATTACACTGAAGATTATTAAATAGAAAAATATTTATAATTGTAAAAACATCATTCAGATCGAAATAATTTTTTAATCAAATATTATTTTTTTATTTAATAAAAAATGAAATCATTTAAGTTAAAAGTAATTTTAACTTTTTCTCATTGATATGATATATATTTCATAATTTATTATTTTTAAAAATAAAAATATTGTATTCAATTGAAAATAATGCAAAATCATCAAGTAAAAATATAAACAATTTAAAATGAGTTTGAGTAAGTAAATTGAAAAGGATTGATAATGAGATGGCATATAATAAGATTTAAATTGAGTAGGTTTGAAAGATGTAAAAAGGAGTGATAATAATAATAAAGAAAAATAAGAGATAGTTAACGATGAATATTATATCATGTCAATACAAAAAAAAAGTTAAACACCCTCCACAATGCAGCATTTAAGTATTTTCTTTTATTATTTATAATATATTAGTAAAAAGGAAGTTTTTTGAGAAAAACACTTAAATAAATTGAGTATATCATATTATTTTGTAATTTATCCAATTAAAATGCTCTAAGTGATTTAAATAGAATCTTATATGACAATTTTTTAATTAATTTTATTTTTATAATAGAATGCAAATTTAAGTTCTTATCTTTTCTCTCTTTACTATCATTAATATAAAAATTAATTTATATTTAATACAATATAAATGTCATGCTTTTATCAGACAAAATAGAGGTGATATAGTACACTCAATCTACTTTAGAATTTCTATTAGGATTCACTTGGTTGCTGCAAATGATAAGAATTGATTAGAATACAAAAGTAAATACAAAAATAAAATGATCATAAAGTAAAAGTATAAATGAGATAGGCCAATCATATTTATAAGGGAATAAAGTAATTTAATTTATAAAATTAAAAATAATAATTAATAAAATTTGTGATAGTGCAGTGAATTTCACATGTGATATATAATCAGGGGCAGAGGCATTTGGTGGTGAAGGAGCAAATATACCCTCCATTTTGAAAAAAATTATAAATAAGGTGTGTAAATTTTGTAACTTTATAATTATACCCCTATTTCTAATGTTTTGCACCATCTAAACTAAATAAAAAATATGTAAACTCAAAAGCTTATTAAATACAAAATATTTTAAAGATCAAAATAAAATATGAAGAATATGCTTACATAAATTAACATATTCAATATAACTTTTTAAAAAGTGATAATCAATCTAATTACGTTATTACATTTTTAATCCTAATATAATTATTATTTTAAAACATTGATTTTTAAATAAAATTATTTTTCACCCCTTGACTCTGCCATTGTATGTAATATTGGGTTCTATGATACTTGATTACTATGAAAAAAACACTTAAATAGATTAAGTACATCATATCATCTGTAATTTGTCCAATTAAAATACTCTAAGTGATTTAAATAAAATTTTATATGATATTTTTTTAATCAATTTTATTCTTATAACAAAATGCAAATTTAAGTTCGTATCTTTTCTCTCTTTATTATCATTAATATAAAAATTAATTTATATTTAATACAATCTAAATGTCATACTTTCATCAGACAAAATAAAGGCGATATGGTACACTCAATCTATTTTAAAATTTCTATTAGGATTCACGTGGTTGTTGCAAATGATAAGAATTGATTAAAATACAAAAGTAAAATAAAAATAAAATGATCATAAAGTAAGAGTATAAATGAGATAGGCCAATCATATTTATGAGGGAATAAAGTAATTTAATATTATAAAATTAAAAATAATATTAATAAAATTTGTGGATGGTGCAGTGAATTTCACATGTGATATGTAATCAGGGGCAGAGGAATTTGGTGGTGACGGGGCAAATACACTCTCCATTTTGAAAAAAATTGTAAATTTTGTAACTTTATACCCCCTATTTTTAATGTTTTGCATCATCTAAACTAAATAAAAAATATTTAAGCTCAAAAACTTATTAAATACAAAAATATTTTAAAGATTAAAATAAAATATGAAGAATATACTTACATATATTAACATATTCAATATAACTTTTTAAAAAGAAAAATGATAATCAATCTAATTATGTTATTACATTTTTAATCCTAATATAATTATTATTTTAAAACATTGATTTTTAAATAAAATTATTTTGCACCCCTTAACTTTGCCATTGTATGTAATATTGGGTTTTATGATACTTGATTACTATGAAAAAACACTTAAATAGATTGAGTACACCATATCATTTGTAATTTATTCAATTAAAATGCCCTAAGTGATTTAAATAGAATCTTATTTGACATTTTTTTAATTAATTTTATTCTTATAACAGAATGTAAATTTAAGTTCTTCTCTTTTCTCTTTTTACTATCATTATATTTAATACAATCTAAATGTCATGCTTTTATCAGACAAAATAGAGGTGATATAGCACACTTAATTTACTTTAAAATTTCTCTTATTATGATGGTAACTAGTAATGATAATTTAATTTATTTTTGCTTTTATTTTTTTATTCCATCTCATTTTCATGTATCTTTTTTGGCAATCAAAGGATCCTTACTTTTTATTCCTCTCTCTACTAGGATGGTATTTTTTTTTTTTTTTTTTAGAAACGGGGGCTAAAAAACGAAGTGTGCCAATGTGTTCCAAACATGGTATAAAACCCAACCCGATTTGGCAGTGAATCGGTGAATCAATCTGCCAATTTAGTCAAGAATTTTGGATAAGTCAGCCAATTAAAATTTATAGTTTTTCTTTTCTTAATATTTACTGAACTTAAAATCACATCGTTTTGAATTGATAAGAAAAAAGGCATATTTTTCATTTGGTGATAATTTTGTTTTATTGAATTACTTGATGTTTATACATGAACTCGTGTCTCAACCCGTGCAACAAGGGTGAGATATCATCTAATAATATTAGTTTATGTATGTTCTTAAAATTACCTTTTTATAAAATAAGTTATACTGTGGAGCATCGTTATTAGTACATACTAAGTACTTGAAATAAACAATAATATTTTTTTTTTTTACTTAGTATGCAATCTTTAACTGGACTACGTTAATATGCAACCAATTAAATGATAAATCTGAATGGCATAATCATAACAAATTAAATTATTCATTAATGTTCATTTACTTGTAGAATAATATCCTTTTTAAGTAAATAATCCATTACTTTTTTTCAAGTTTATATATGGATATTTTTATATATTTTAATTAAATTAAATTATTTTAATTATAATTAGGTTGACTCAGATTCAACTAAGATTAGACCATTAATCCTTAATTGAAACGTGCATCGGCCAAGTTAATGACCAATATCCAGTTTTCGGTATCTCAATTTTAAAGAACTAGAAAGAAGATTGGAAAAATGCAATAGGAAAGAATCTCAACATCATGATTTACATTTTAAACCTGACAATGAATTCCAATCGCTAAGAATCTGATGTTATTTGGTATCAACTAACTAAAATTGAGTACCGGCATGCCTCGAATGAAAATATTTTTTTAAAAATATTTTTTATATTCACACAAATTTTAACTTTAAGGCTGGAGTCCTTTTTAACTAAGACAAAGGCATACTTTTTAAATTTTACTATTTTTTTAATGATGAAAGTAAAATGATAGCCAATTTATTTGTGTATAACATAAAGCATAGGGGGAATTTTGTACAATTTATCAGAGATTATGTGTAATCATTTTGCTTGATCTTTTTTTTATAATGATCAAAGTACATGAGCAGTTGTGAATTACAATATATTTTGCCTATCTTTTTTATAAATCATTTCTATCAATTCTATCAATACAAATGTAAAAAAATATAAGAATTAAAGTGTACATAATTTAAATGTACCTTTATATAACAAATTTAAAAAGTAATATATATTACTTTTTCCCTCACATATAAAAGGTAATTTTAAATATATATTTTAAATATTATGTAAAAAGTTGCGTCCATAATTTACAAATAGAACCAAATAAATTTTTTAAAATATTCTTTATAAACAAAACTGGAGTGAGTAATAAATAAGTTATCATTAATAAAAAATGCACCTTCCGTCTTAACAAACATAAATTCCGTGATCAAGTCAAAACAATATCTTTTTTATTTGAAAGAAAACAATGTGATTTGGTGAATAAATCATGGTTGAAAATAAACAAATCTATTTTTTATTTTAATAAATATTAATTTAAAATTAACAAGTTCAAAAAATAGTCATTTTAGTTGTTAGAAATAATAAACAAGTCCATAAACATTTAATATTAAACATTCAACAGAAAAAATAGGGATGAGACCATTTAAAAGGAAGTATCACATTCAAGAATCACTTAAATAAATTATTTATAGATAAAATTAACAATAAATTTTATTAAAAAAATAGTTAAGTTATTATTTTAATAATAATTTATTTTTTATTGATACATATCTATGAATAACTTTTTTAAGTCGCCGTTCACTGTGATTGTCCGGAACTAGAGTTTAAAGCGAAAGATCACCCACTGAAACAGAAGAAGCTAGTAGTTGACAAGACGTGAGCAGAACAAATGGGAGAGGCTTCAAGCAATCTAAAACAGGGGGAGGTTCCATAATTGGAAGGAAGGATTCGATGCAAAGCAAAACACTTGTCGGCAAAAATTACGACATTCACGTAAACATTAGTTCTACCCGCCACCCTCTTTC